TTTGTAGAATATATTGGTGCATATATCTTTCTTTTTATGAAAAATAGGTTTTTTGAATAGGATAAATTCTAGCTTTAAAATGGCTTTGCTCGAAATCGATTAGGGGCCATCTACTTAGGACGTCCGCCAAAATCGCAGATTTTTAGACCACCCCCTCCCCTTTCCGGGTGTGTCCGAATTTTCAAAACCACCCGGCCCCTCCCCCGGACGTCCGGATTTCCAGCTACTTTTAAGAGTAAAAATAAAACCAACTCAAATTCATTGTTTATCAAATTTCAAGAGTTGAAATAAAATTCAAAGAGTTGAAATAAATGGAACTTTTTTGTTAATTTTGTCAAAATTTCCGGACGTCCGGATTTCAGAAACCACCCCTCCCCCTCCCCTTGTCCGGATTTGTCCGAAATTCCAAAACTTCCCCCCCCCCTCACTATTTGCCGGACGTCCTAAGTAGATGGCCCCTTATTTGAGACTCTTACCAACCGGCAACCATGTTTGGCAAGAGTCTCAAATAAGGGGCCAACAAAAAATTTTATGTAAACATTTTGAAAAAGAGAACAAAGCTTTCAGATTTATCAAAATCTAGAGATTGTCTGATTCGAATCAAACACAAAGGACCAAAAAAATTTAATTGTTTTCTAATGGCTTGAATCGGTATTTTCTTCGGATGATGATACAGGATGGGCCAAGAGTCAGTGTACATACGTTGGCCTTAGGCTTAATAGCTCCGCCGTGTTTTATATTTGAGAGCTGTTGCTTTGCAGATGGCATACTGTAATTGCTAATTCATGGATTCCGTCGTCAAAATTTGAAAATTCGAATATTTTAGACCACGCCCATTCAATATTAAAACACCTATATTGTTTTTTCTGAACATGCTGAACGCCTACTATTTTCAGATACGATAGAGTATTAACTGTTGCATTATGCATATGATCTGAAAACATGAGGCAAAGCCAAAACGGATTAGAAATGACGATGTTATCAAGCATCTTCTGTATCTCGTTAACAAAATTGACTGGGTGATTATGTGACACCGTGACACGACACCTTAATTGGACACCCTTAACAATTCCCATAATGTTCAACGGGGTGGTTAACGGGGTCACCTAATCACGTGATTAGGTGAACCGATCACCTGATCACACGTAATGAATAAACTCGTTATGCCTTATATCTCGGTCATCTGAGAAGCTAGTACAGTTCTAATTTTTTTCAGGACAATCTTAATTCGAATGGCCAAACACAAGTCAATAAAATTTAGCTCGATCCGACTATCCAAACTATCAAATAAATGCAAAAATGAAAGTTCATTTGTGAAAATTGGCATGCAACGTATATCAAATATCTCGCCAGGGGAGCATTATTATAAACATATGTCATGTGGGGTGATTCGGAATCAGCATTCATTTTCAAAAATACAAAGTGCTTTCAACTGTCAGAGGGGGGTGTAGAGTGATTTACTTTTAGCACGGCAGCACGCTCGCTGTTCTTCCTCGTTCAAAAAAGCTGCACCGGATGCAGGATGAAACTATTTTCGCGCGCGAAAAGAGGTACAAATCGTGGATCAAACTATCAAGTTTCTTTTTGAATGCTCAACGGCCATTTAAAGTCATACTTTTACTGGTTTGAAATTATCAAACCAGTAAAAGTTTTTTAAAAACTTGAAGTGAAGAAGGATGATTAACATTCAACGATTACCTTCCTTAGGCCTTATAGTTATACGACCATATTTGATAAGGTATAAGCTATTAACTATAAGATATCTTAAATTTATTCATATTGTTCGTTCTAGTAGCTGCTACTAATACTATACTTGACTTATACTATACCACTAATACTATACTACTATTAGTATATACTAATACTGCCCCCCCCCCCCCCCCCCCCCCCCCCCGCGTGCATTATATATATCCTATAATCTACGCTATAATTGCCACAGCTTCCATCCGCATCCACATTCCACAGTTTCCGCATTTTTACGATGCAGGCCGTGATTTAGGGAGAAACCATGTTGCATGTTTAAGTTTTATGTGTTCGAAAATACTTGAAGCGTTATTATCGACACTGTATTGGAATTTGAATAGTGATAGTCGACTATGATGCATTAAAGCGTTAAATTTGGATACAAGAATACTTCATCGAGATCTATCAGGTATCGTTCCCATATTATGTAAGCCAGCCTAGGGGAAGAAAAAAAAGCTTACGCTAAAATAATTTCGACGCAATAGCCCATGTGTAACAGTAATATAAAGTGGCTGTAGAGGAGAATTTTGAAAATGCCAAAATCTGGATTTGACGTAATATGAAAACGGTCACTTGTTGTTCCCTAAAATTATTTTACCAGTGCAGCTGTCCTTTGTTCTTCCTACTTTGCTTTTTGTCTTTTTAATGAATTTTTTACTTTCGCATGACCCGAGCGTGCTAAATCACTTTACAGTCGATTTTCGAGATTGTATTTGTAGCGCGATGTACTGGCCACTGGACCTCGCCGAGCTGCGAAGAATTGACATCGTCAATATAATGAATTAATCTTCGAGATTGTTCTAAAAGGGCCCCCGAAAGTCATGGAACCAAATAGAATCGATGTATTTTCGGACGCTGATTCTGAATCACCCCCATGACATACAATAGGGTTAAAATGCTCCCCTGGCGAGATATTGGCCAAAAACTGTCTCGATCACGTGATATGACCGTATAAGAAAGTTAATCCATAGTTGGTTCGTGCGTTACTTTTCCAGGAAAAGTGCGTTTAGTTCGTGAAGATTTTTTCGTGCGTTTAAGTGCGGTAAAGTGCGTTACGTGCGTCTGCCTTCACATTACGAGGTTTTTTGGAAACAATTAAAAATCTTTTATGACTGTTAAATATCAGTTATCACATAATTAGAAATAAATGTTTAAAAATTCTTCATTCCTACATGAACTATCACGTGCAGACCAGTCTTTTCAGATGCACTGATCATGATATAATTGCGCAGATAACCGTTTAAGACTTTAGTTCGCACACGTGCAGTATTCTGGCAAGCCCCGGTACTGATTTGTTAGAAACAGATTTAAAAGTGCGTTTAATAAAAAAATGTTCGTGCGTTAAGTGCGTTCGGTTTTACTTTTAAAAGTGCGTTTAGTGCGCACGAACCAACTATGAGTTAATGACAATGTAATTTCTCGTTAGGGTTAGGGTTTCAGCATATGCTTTTGTTTAGTTAGTTAGTTTAGTTAAACTTAAGGATTGGGTTAGGGTTAGGGTTGGGATCCCGGATCAAATTAATAAAGGGTTAGGGTTTTGAATAGTCGTTCAGGGCCAGCTAGAGAACGGGTTGAAAAGTCACGTGACACTGACAGTGACAGTCGAGTGCATGTAGGTAGAGTGATTAATCAATTCATGACTATACATGGAATGATGACCTTCTGAAGAAGTGAAACCATTACTGTTTTTGGATGATGATTAATAACAGTCTACACTCGACTGTCACGTGAAGTAGTAAATATACATACACCTGACCGGCGGACACCTAGGTGTGAACTGCCCCCGGGGCCTCCCCGGGCTGAGCTGCCCCCGGGAGCGGCCCCGGGGAGCTGGGGAACTGCCCCGGGGAGCTTGGGAACTGCCCCGGGGAGCTGGGGAACTGCCCCGGGAACCAGGGGCAAATAATCGCAACAACAATCACCACAGCAACGGGCACTCCCCTGGAACGGGCTCTCTGTGAGCCAGGTGTGAAATATCCTCGTAACGGGCTCCGGGGACCCTCGAGAGATCGTTCATTTGTTGTAGCGCGATGCACTACTGGGTCGCGCGCGCATCAAATAATGCTTCTCGCAACCTTCGGTAGATCGGCGAGATGCACCACTGTGCCTCACCGAGCTGCGAAGGATTGACATCGTGAATCAAGTTCATTTGTTGTTGAGTTCGATTGTTTAGTTTCACACCTGACTCTCGGACTGGAACAAGACATCTCAGATGTAAGTATATTTTTATTTTGTAGCGAATATTCTGTTCACGGGGCACACAAAACTGTCCCGAGCAGTTGATGTGTGTGATCTTTTTTATAGTAGAGGCTCTTACGGGCATTGTCTGCTCGATACGCTAGGGACCCCAGATACACCTTACTAGACGTATTTTTGACCGTAGAATCGATTAAAAGTAGTTTAAAAATGATTGGACTGAGTTAGCACCGTTAAAATTGCAAAAAAACCGATTTTGGGGCCAAAAATAGGCCAAAAAAGCATGTTTTTTGATAATTTGAGCAAGTTAATTTTGTTGGCATGTCGGCAAAATTTGCATAAAGGTAGCTAAAAGACAGCCGCACAAGATGGTTAAAAAATTTTAAAAATCCCTCTATTTTAGTGCAGGCGAAAACCCAAAAAAAAGTGGTAAAAATTTTGACTTTTTTGCTTGAAGTTTGAATATTTTTTTGCAGTTGTATTAAATCAACCCAAAAATAGTCACATCGTGTTTGCCTAAATTTTTCCTTTCCGAGAAGTATCCACTTCATATACTTTATCGAAGTTTGAATATTGTCACTCCGCAAGCGTTTTTGCCAAATTTTCGACGCGCACTACGCGCAAAAGCATTTAGTTGTTATCAATTGGCACCCGCGCGTTCATCATAAATTTCAAACAGCTATAACTCAGCGATATTATGTCTGTTCTAGCTCATATTTTCACACCAAATAGAAAATAATGTGATCTTATTGCTGACAAAATATGAATATAATTTCTCTATTTGCCTTAGAGTAATAGACTGTCAAAGTTTAAAACGCGCATTGGTATAGCACGTGACTAATAAGGCCAAATTTATACTTCTTAACATATTATCGATCCTTAGACATCATACTATTGTGTCCAATTAGCGGTTAGGTCTCTAAACTCGTAGCAGAAAACACGTCTTTTTGCCCGTAAGAGCCTCTACTATTAGAGCACGAGGACTTTTATTGCAATAAATCCCTCGGTGTGAACCCGACCTGACGGCGACTAGGCAAAGCCGAAAGGACCCTAGTAGCTTGATGTCTGTTTGCAACTTCCGTAAGAGCCGACGTAAACACTGTAAATACAGAATTCCTTCATCAGATTTGTCATTTGTAAACAGACAGTCAAGTATGTCTAATCCTGTAAATATTGTAAAGAATCCTCTCTGTATCAGTACATGGAATGTTACTTCTCTTGTCAGTAATTCCAGTAAGATGTATCAATTAGGAAAAGGTGTTGATGATTATGGACTAGAGCTCCTTGGGGTAACTGAAACACATATGGCTGGATCAGACTTTGAGCAATGGGGCTGTTTTGGTTTATTCTGGCAGGAGCGATGGAGTACGGAGAGAAGGAGTTGGTGTTGTTCTTTCCAAAAAGATGAAGAATACTCTCATATCATACACCCCTGTATCAGGACGGGTTATGACTGCCCGTTTACATAGCAAACACATCAACATTAGTGTTACAGTTGTGTATGCTCCAACTGAGGATGCAGAAATCAGTTTAAAAGACTCATTCTACAAGGAATTGAATGATGTTCAATCGGGACTACCTGCTCATGATATAAAAATAGTTTTAGGAGATTTTAATGCTCGTGTTGGAAGGGATACTGATGCTCACCCTGGTGTTATAGGAAAACACTCATATCACACAGAATCAAATGATAACGGAAAACGGATGCTAGATTTCTGTACTATGCACCAGCTGACGATTGGAGGCACACTCTTTGAACACAAGGATATCCACAAGACAACATGGAGATCCCCAAATGGTAACACCGTCACTCAAATTGACCATATGTGTATTTCGACGAGATGGAGCCATTCTTTGCTTGATGTCAGGAGCATGAGAGGAGCAGATATAAATACTACTCACTATCTGGTTAGAGGATATGTATCTATTAAACTTAAGTGTCCTCAGAAAAGAAAGAAGCGTGTAAGACAGCCTGCTTTAGAGCACCTGCGTGATAGATCTAAGAGCCAGGAATATAGTAACAGAATAGCTGAAGAGTACTATAACAACGATCAGGAGCATGGAAACTCTCCTTTAGAAGAACAGTAGCAAAATTTAAGAGATATAATAACTGATATTTCATTTGAAGTTCTGGGTGAAAGGGGCCGGAAAAAGAGAACAGAACATCTCTCAAGGGATACTAAGAATCTCCTAAAAGAACGAGGGGAGATTAAAAAGAAACCCAGTACTGCTGAGAACCGTGCTAAGTACTCGCGGATTAACGGTCTTGTTAGGCAGAACTGTAAAAGAGATGATAATGCTTGGGCTGTTAGAATAGCTGAGGAATTAGAAGATGCTGCCAAGCAGGGTCAACAAAGAGATGTTTGGCAGAAAATAAAATCCCTAACAAACAAGAGAGTAAACAGATCTGCGGCAGTGCGGGATAAGAATGGGACGCTTATATCAGATCCCGAAGCTCAATCACATCGCTGGGCCGAATATTTTGAAGAACTCTTGACGCCAGCAGCAAATGCGGTGGATTTCTCTATATTGGATCAGGATGAAAAGTTACTTTCTTTTGAATACCTTAGTAATGATGATGAACCACCGTCCTTGTTTGAAATTGAGGAAGCTATCAAGAAGTTGAAGAACTGCAAGAGTGCTTGAATTGATGAAATTTCAAATGAGCAGTTAAAGTACGGTTCTCCTGGACTTCTGCCTTGGTTAAAGGATCTTTTTGAAACTGTGTGGAAAAGTGAGGATATTCCTAATGATTGGAGAAAAGGAATAATCACCATCATCCCAAAGAAAGGGGACCTCACATATTGCAACAATAACAGAGGTATAACTTTACGCTCAACTATATCAAAGTTATTCCAAATTGTGTTGTTAAAAAGACTGAGTAATGGGCTTGAAAAATTACTCAGAGAGAATCAGTGTGGTTTCAGGAGAAACCGTTCTTGTATAGATCAGCTGTACTCACTTCATTGTATAATACACAATTGTATAGAATTCAACGTCCCTTTGTACATAAACTTTATTGATTTTAAAGCTGCTTTTGATTCAATCAATCGTGACTTTATTTGGAAAGCTTTTGAACATTATGGTCTTCCGACAAAATATATCAATGTTTTCAAAGCGTTCTTTAGAGCAACTGAAAGTGCAGTTCGTGTCAATGGAGAATTGACAAGATGGTTTGATGTCGATTCGGGGACTGGACAAGGTGATGTGCAAGGGCCCCCTATTTTTAATCTAGTACTTAACTGGGGATTAGAACTTGCAGAGAAGTTTAAGAATATATCCCGTGGTTTTACACTTCAGTACAGACAAAGTTCCAGACAACCGGAAAAATGTGTCATTGATCTTGACTATGCTGATGACATCGCAGGAATGGATGACACTGTTGAAGGACTGCAAGAAACTACGGACAATATTGCGAAATACTGTGGACTTGGGGGTTTAAATATGAACGCAAAGAAAACAGAGATCATGGTCATTGGGAAAGATACATCTCAGCACCCACTCCCAGAGAATAGGACCATAGATATAACTGTCGATGGAAACTCTGCAAAGCAGGTCACTCAATTCACTTATTTGGGAGCCAAAATTACATCAGATGGCAAGATTGATAAAGAAATAAGTGTCAGGATTGGAAAAGCAACCGGAGCTTTTAACCAACTCAACAACATTTGGAAGAATAAGAACATAAGCATTAACAACAAAGTGCGAATCTACATCGCAGCTGTTCTTACCATTCTGACCTATGGATGTGAGATATGGTACACGACTCAAGTGCAGACAAGAAGATTGGAGTCTTTCCATCAGTACTGCTTAAGAAGAATCCTGAGAGTGAGGTGGTTCCATCGAGTAAGTAATGAGGATGTTTTAAGAAGGGCATCAATAACTGCCCTTGCTGACATAATAACAACAAAACGGCTGCGTTGGTTTGGACATGTCAGTAGAATGCCTGAAGATCGGTTGCCCAACTATTTACTTGAATGGAAACCCAAGCATGGGAAGAGATCAAGAGGCAGGCCTAGGAAGAGCTTAAATGATGTATTCATTGAGGATGCTGAGCAGAGATTGGATCGTAATGGACTCACGATTGATTGTATGAGAAGATTAGCTGCAGACCGAAAGGGATGGAGAAATGTTACCCGCCGAAGTTGTATAATACAAAGTAATGACGCAGTCGACGCAGACTAATCCTTTTGGATGGAGATCTCGCCATGTAACATGTATGTATGAACCCGACCCTCCCAGAGCAATAGGTCCCACAATTTGCAGCAAGTACTTGCTATATCAAAATCTACACAATCATATTTCAACTTACCCTCCCGATCTCCGCGTGATCACTCCCGGAATTATTATGTTTATCATAATTTCATATGTGTTATCTTTGAAACAGCAATCTACGACACGGCGAGATCTTGACCAATTTTTGTTTACACTTGATGTCTAGTAATGCTACATAGTATTTCACAAGTCCGTTTTTAATTTTCAACTTGAACTCAAGCTCCGGACACACAGAACTAGTAGCAACAATTGACGCTGCATTATTATTTTGAGGTGCGACAATTGTTTGAAGAGAGGATTTCATAAATGTATCATGAGACCGTGATATGTTGAATATTGTCAAACCTGCTCCCCCGTATTACGCCTGATTTACTTGAAATTCGTTTACCAATTTTGTAAATATGATTATTTGTTGTTATTTCGAAGAGAAGTGACTGAAAAGGTGCCAATTTTTCAATTCTGGGACTTGCAACAAAACGTTAGTTTGTCAGGTGAGTCAGTCATAATGTTAAACTGGAAGAGTAGCGCGGTTGAAACATGTATATAAAATTTTCAATTGTTGAGTATTCTACGTATTCCAACAACATCTTGTTTTTCTTCATTTTGCTAATTCCGGAAGCATTAATTTTACGCTTCCATCATATTGTAAGATTTAAAATTGAGTAATTATAGGACTGTCAAATATTGCAACTAAATTTACAGGGGTCAATAACAGATAGTGATCCAATCACGTGACCGTTAATCCTTTCACGATACAGTATTACTCCTTACGGACATAAACCATGTAGTGGAACTCACAGCTAGGAGCTCTACGTTTGAGACTCTGGCTAGGGAGAACTATGATATCCACCTTCACGAGATGCATGCCACACCAGGTAATTACAGATTGAAGCAAATCCCAGTTACAGTTTTCAGTTTATTCAACCGAATCCGTTTTCCCTTTTGAATTATATGATGATCATTTTGTAACAGTGCTAATTTTCATAAAACATCACGCAAAACATTCCAGGGTCTAGAACTGGTGACGATGCAACAAGACTGAACAATATCAAAACAAAATTCAAGCAAAATTGAGCGATGTTTGAGTAAATTGCTGAGCAGTCCCCAAGTATATAAAGAGAACAAGGTTGGAAATTCATTTCAATCAGAGATGTCGGTGTTTTGTCCTCTCTGCGATAAACAATTCGCAAACAAGCAAAGTCTGTCCTCACACAAAAGTCGGTATCATCGGAAAAAGGGAGAATCACACACAAGTTCTATCAACCACCCACCGTCAAAAGCTTATGTGACTGATCAAATAAGGGATAATTCCGACCCACTCCATACCCTCCACGGTGAACTTTTTGACACTTGGGTCGAAGGTAAGACAAGAGGCTTCATTACACCTGAAGAAGCAAAGTCTGTGATGGGTATTTCAGACAACACAAATAAGGCAGGCACAGGCCCGACCAACAGGCCAAGTACAGCTCCCCACCATAAACCGGGAAAGAGCTACTTTTACCCCTCCTTGAAAGTCCACAAACTGAGGAAAGACCAACTTATCCCAGGAGTTGAACCGCCGGTGAGACTTATTACAGCACTTCAAGAAGGTATCAGTAAAAAGAGTGATGTGTTTGTAGCCACGAAATACTTAAGACCCCTGGAAAAAGACTTCTGCCAAGACCTCCTTACAGACACAACAGATGCATTAATTTGGCTCGACGAAATCAACTCTAATAAACCCCAAGTTGAAAAGAAAACATATAAACCGTTTACTTTTGACTTCAAGGGCCTTTACGACTCACTCAGCCCCTCCCTTGTCATCGTAGCTCTTGAATTTGCCATGGACCAATTAAGACCCGACTGGTCTATGAACTTCAAAGCTTGGCTAATTTACTTGGTGAACCACAGCCTAAAATCATCTATAGGTTTTTTCGAGAATGCTTGGTACAAACAAATACACGGTGTACCTACTGGAGGTTCTCTATGTGTTCAACTGGCAAACATCGCTGTGTTTTATGTCCTTAACAAGGAAGTCTACTCAAACCCCACACTAATGGACCAAGTAGCATCTGTTAAGAGATACATTGACGACGGAGCAGGTCAGTTTACATGTACTACCAGACAGTTTTCAGCATGGATAAAGAAGGTCAACGAAAACATCGCTCCCGATGGCCTTGAAATAGATGAATTCCAAGCAGAAAATACAGCTGAATATGTCAGTTTTCTAGATGTACAGTTTACTTTCGACCATCAAGGAGAGCTTCAAACTGATCTATAAGTATACGTAAAAGAAACAGACTCCAGGTCCTACCTACATTTCAGCAGTAGTCACCCCAATCACATATTCTCAGGAATTGTATACTCCCAGTGTTTACGCCTCAGGAGGATAATCAATTCAAAGGAGAGATTAGAGACCCAGCTTAACATTCTCAAACGGGCGTTTCATGAATCAGTATACCCTAGTAAAATGGCTGACAACATAGCTAACAAATGGAAAGAGTGTTAGTCAGGAAGAGTACGGTCGCGCCTAATGAACAATCCCCGCTATCAGCCATACCAATCAGAGTCATCTCCAGTTATGGAAGTGACAATGACTTGGTGAATGTTGTCCAGAAATACGAAGGTCACTTGAGACGAACTCGTAGTTTTAGTGAAAGTGAGAGTCAGCAAGCCACAAACTCCACCACAGCACCGAAAGGAAAAGATAAACTGTTTCAGTTTGTAAAGAAAACGGGATCTACGCTTAGATCTCGCCTCGTTACATCTAAACAGCTTGCCTTAGGTGCTAAACATGGTAAAACTGAACCCTGTCACAGAAGAAACTGCAAGTGTTGTAAAATGATCATGAATAAGGACTCCATCACATCAAATGGCAAAAAGATCAAATCAGCCCCTGGTTGTTGCAAGACCTATAACATCATCTATCTTGTACAGTGTTCGATTTGTAAGAAAAACTATGTGGGTAGGACTATTAATAGCTTGCATAAAAGGATGGACGGACACAGGTCCAAATTTTATGAAATCGTTGATGGTAGAGCATTTGATATTACTAGTGATGAGTATAGCCTAGGAGTTCACTTGATTGACCACGGTTTAGGAGTACATACAGATTTTAATGAAACTTTTAGAACTTTTATTTTAGAGAATTGCAGTCCCAGTACACTTGAAGTAAAAGAAAATAACTACATACATTTGCTTAATTCTCTTAGACCTTTTGGCCTTAATACTGTCAATCCCTTTGGATTACCTATATTCCATAAACCTTAATATGATCTTTTTACCTTTTTCGGATTATTAATTTTGTAACGGTTTGAGTTTCACTAACCTTTTAACATTTTTTAGGTTCAATGTCACTGGAGATGACTACAATCGAAATATATTTGGCAAGA